TCAGTGGGCAGAATAATGTTGCTCCAATGTGAGCTTATTTTTATTTATGTATGAGATACTGAAGCAATTACAGAAATAAATGTTACTATATTTCAATATATTATTACCTTTACCTCTTAAACCCTTACAATCCCTTTAATGAATTTGAGATGGTATAAATCTTGTCTGTTTTGGCATTATTAAGTAACATAGTAAGCCTATATGTCCTGTTACAATAACATAGTGTCACTTTAGAGAGAATAACGTTGTTTCACCACACAGAGTCCTAACCAAATTGGCAGCAAAGCTTGCTATAAAATTATTATTTCAGTATTACTTTTTAAGTCTAGCTACAAATTCTTCATTTACGGTGGATGAGCTTTCATTCAACCATCCCAGAATGTCTCAAAGCAGATTGTCATATTATCACAATCTGCTTTGAGACAGGCTCCAACATTATTTTTTCTTCTAAAAGCTCTGAGCCCAGAGACAGCATATACCACTTCATCCAAATGCCCAAGGCCTTTTCTTTGCCTTAGATGAAATCTCCCTTCTACCAGCCTAAATGTGTGACCTCGTGTCTTATGTATAGCCCTGTTTATGAATAGATTTCCAGATAAAGGTTTGTACTGGCCCTGAATATATTTGTATAAAGTTATCATATCCCCTCTCAGGCGCCGTTTTTCCAAACTAAACAGATTTAAATATCAATCCATGTTATGATAAGAAGACGTACAGATAGGCCTTGGCAAGATGTGGGCCTCAACATCGGTCCACCTTTTTGGTCCATCACTGATACCTAGATCTTTTCAGTAGAGTTTAAATTAATCTTCACAGGATATTCTGATCACCGCCAAACTGACCAATTTAAAATATGGTCGTGCCATGACATAAAGGTGAACATAAAGGTGAACTAGACCAGTGGTCCTTAACCCAGTCCACATGGACCAACAACAGTCCAGATTGTGTCAGTATCTCCATTTGAAAAAAAAGGGAAATACATGAATCCTGGACTGTTGGTAGTCCATGAGGACTGGGTTGGGGACACTGAACTAGTCTAAGAAGATGACAAGTTTCCCAGAAGACATCACTGTCTATGAATGTCTTCTGGGACATGTGGTGACCCTATTCTCCCAGTAGAAGATACCAAGATCATGTCAGTTGCCGACCACATGGGTTGAAACATTGCAGATCACTATAATCAAGTAAAATTAAACTTGTTTTCCTGTTTAGTATGATACTGAATGTAGATAATTATATCTGCTGGATGTTCATTAGGGTGTTATTGTCGCTGACCATTGCATGTTACCTGACCCAGCAGAAAATTACATGATTTTGCTATTACATGACGAAAAGTCACGATTGTCTTAAAGACATGGAGGCGAGTATTGCTTATCCCTTTCTTTACTGTCCACCAATAGCAGCAAAGAATACAAATAGTAAGAAAAGAAAATGGTATACATAGTGATAAGCCAGTCCCATATCAAGTCCCAGTATAATAGTCAGCACATGCCATCATATTTCCTCTTTCCTTGGAGATGCGACACAATAACAAACATCAAACAGGAACCGATGAATCAGTCACTGCTGTTATCATTGCTGTATTTGTTTCACCAAGTCCCTGAGGAAGTCCAATTATAGGACGAAACGCGTAGGACGCTCCTATGGTGACATGTGATTTGTTTGATACTTGAATCTATATATGCCAATTCACTGATGGAAGTGTGAGGAGGTATAATACAGTGGACACTGAAGAAAAAGATATCATTCAAGGCTGCTTTTACATCAGAAAATTTGTGAGTGACCTATTGTGACCGCACACTGTTATTAACCCCCACACAGTTAAACGCTATGTTTTTTTTTTTGTATTTAGCAGATTATCCCCTATTCTATTCGTACCAGTAGGTATTCTGCCTGGACCATCAAGTTCTGTGTCAGACAAAACTCCCAGAAATACATTGCTAAATGTGCCAATACTGCCGATTGGGTGCCGCCCATGTGGTTGACATACCGAACCGCAGATATGTTGTCCATCCGTAGGCGTATGCATGCATTGCAATTTCACAAAACTTTGAATCACAAAGGATCTCGCTAAGTGTTCCAAGGCATTGGTGTGCATCCTGGATTTGCTCTCCGACCAGTGTCCCCCTGCTGACACACCTTCGCAATAGGCACCCCAACCATGGAGACTCACATCCGAGTCTATGGTGAATTCCGGTTGAGATCTGAATATGGCCCTGCCATTCCAGGCATGAAGATTGTGAATCCACCAATGCAACTCGTCCTTCGTGTCCTTGTCTAGGGCCACCAGATCCACATATGAGTCTCCCTTGTGAAGGTGTGCAATCTTCAATCGTTGGAGAGCCCGGTAGTGAAGAGGGGCCGGAAACACTTCCTGTATTGACGATGCCAACAGTCCGATGATTCTCGCCAAGTGTCGTAGCATGAGCAGCAGTCGCGACAAAGCCCTGTAGAGTTTTTTGCGGTTCCTGTGGATTTTGGATGTCAGAAGACTCAAGGAGTCCTCTTCTGAGTTCACTAGGAAACCCAAGAATTCCATGCACTTGGCTGGGGTCAAACAGGATTTTTCCCAGTTGATGAAGAAACCCAGGTGGGACAGCAGGTGCACATTTCTATTTCCGTGCCTGTTCTGCCTGGAATGACGTGAATTGGACGTGCTATCAGGGGGGCCCAGTGATGTGCCCAGAATTGCGCCAGTCATAGTGTTTCTGGAGGCAGATGGGGAAACATGCCTAAATTTTTGCCTCGCCTTTCTTGGTGCATTCCCAATGGGATCCAACTGATGACGTGAGCTGTGCGTCGTGGACCCCATAGGTCCCATGCCTGAGGGGCGCGTCAAAAGTGCTTGGGAAATAGTTTTGGGCAAGGCCGAGGACATAGAGCCCATTGCGGTCATAATGGTGTCGGTCACAGACTTCTGGAGCGCCAAGGACTGCGCATCCACCCTGTAGGGTCAAGGGCCCCTGCCGCAGGGAGGGAGCCAGCCATAGATGGGGCATCACCCAATATAAAAGTGGTATCCACTTCCCCGAGGGATGGGTGGTATGGTATTAGGCATGGCAGAAAATAATCAGACCCACCAGAGGCAGGTATCGGAGAAACTGGAAGGGGAAATGGCGCGAAATCGTGGTGAAAATACCGCGATTTTTAGAGGGAAAAATCTCCCGAACGGGTGAATTCGGCTCCCGAACCAGGGTGTGTTCGCGTGCCAAAGGTGTCTATATATATAAGTCAGGAAACGGCATTCGGGAAACTAACAAACCTGCGAACGTACGCAAACTGAATATAATGGGAACAAACAGACGGACGGATGTTTTCATGAGAATGTCTGACCTCCTGGCCTCCAGACGTGATGAACAGAGCCGAAAAGAGATGCTAAACAAAGTAAAAAGGGTGGGAAATGGGCAACAACAGGCTGAAGGAAAACAGGTAACGTGAAAACACACCAATATCCCTAAACGGGCAGGATTCAGTCTAAGGGTAAGGAAAAGTGACAGGTAGGGGTTACACCAGGCCCAAGGAGGGTAGGGGGCAAGGGAAAACCTTTCACTGGTCTGGGACCCTGAGTATAGAACACCACACAAAAAATAGACAGGTACAATAACTATCCTACATGGTAAAAGCCATAAGTAACCAAATATTGCTCAAACATTCGATTCTAAACACACCAATACTGATTAAATGAGACAAAAAGATGGTACTTAACTGACTGTTGAGCAGCAAAGAAAGAGGAAATATGATTGGCGGTGCTGACTATTACACTGGGACTTGGTATGGGAGTGGCTTATCCCTATATATACAATTTGTTTCTTCTTACTGTTTGTATTCTTTGCTCCTATTGGTGGACAGTAAAGAAAGGGATAAGCAATGTGAGCCTCCGTGTCTTGTTATAAAATTGTTATCCAAATGGTCCACTTGCTGAACCATCCACTTCATCAGAAGATAATTAAATATATAACCATATGCAATCAACCCAATGCACCTCTTGTTATATTGATAAAACATTGAACGTTAATAAACTCCAAAACAAAATAATCATCGATTCAGACCTGCAATTGGAATTCATAGGGTTAAATTTCCTTCTGTCTCTCACAGAGCTAATGGGAACGGAAAAAAATCATAGTCTTCTACATCCCACAAAACAAGTAAACAATTATTAACATCACAACTATTGTCAGGGTGGAAACAGCAACAGCTGATTTGATTTAATTGATCCCACATTTTCATTTCAATGTATAAAGAAAGAGTATTTTAGACGTACTTGAATATGGAGAAACTATTCCAATCCAAACACAACATGCAAGCATGCTGGGAGTTTTACTTTTAAAGAAGTTCAAAATCCAAGTACTGCCAGTGCCTATCTGTGATTTTTTTTTTTATAATTCTTTATTTTATTGTGCAAGGAAAAGTACATAGCAACAAGCAATGCCACAACATATTAGAGACAATTGATTGGCATAATAGAACATTGCACATTTTATATATTAATGTAGATTTGTCAAGAGTGTAACCAACATGTCAGCTAAGAGATAAGAGAGACAGGTTATTCATTTAGCATAAACAAGCTGGCATTATTGAAGTATTATGGGGTCGCATGCTTAGCTGTAGCACATCTTGTCTGTGCGCTGCTTAAAATCACACGCTGAACAATTCGCTGAATCAGCACAAATTCTAAAATAAAATAATACTGAACATATAGGTAACAGGCTTGTTCAACATGTCTAGAGACGTAGCAGAGGATAAGCTGATGGTTAATGCCCATGTGTGCGGTGACAGGCTGGTCTAATAAGAAAGCAATAGTGAGACATAACAGAGTGAGACATTATGCTTTTGAGTTCACTGCAGGATGAAATTAAGTAGAATACTATAACAAATAATGATTGATGTAGTAGTAAAACAATAAAACCGCTGGGTTGCCCCCTACCATTAGTCATACCAGAGGAGGAATTATGCAGTTTAGGTACAGGCTTATGATGTAGCTGGGTCCTGCATGTGGCTGTTCAGCCAATTCCTTTTTCTGGTAGGTTGTCGACCTTGGGGTGCATAAGTCCACTGGTTTCTCGATGGGGCTCAGTGTCGTGATGTGGCTTGGTGGGTTGGGGTGAGTCGCGGCGTCCATGCTTGGCTTTTTCCGGTGTCCGTGCTTCGGGCCGCATCCTTTCTGCTTGTGTCAGGGGCTTTCGTTCCCTTTGTCCCGGGTTGCTCGCCCGAAGGTATCTTCGGGTTGGGGGGTGCTTTGGTCTGCTTGTGCGATCAGCGGGCTTCCCCTTCTTTTGAGAACCGGGCCCAGGGTGGCGTTAGCGTGTCCGAGTGGGAGCTTGGGTCCCTAGCTCTGCAGGGAGTGCGGTGTCCCGGGCTCTTTTCTGGATTCGGTTCCAGAATGCATTGCACACCATGTTGAATCTGTGCTCAAATTGTATTCTCCATGCTTGGGTCTCTGGGCTGTCTGAGAGGGTCGTGTGGTCCGACTCAGCGGCCATCTTGGACGCGCCATGCAGTCGCTGGTCCATGGAGAGATGCCCCTCGTGGAGGTGAGGCTTCCCCAGTGTGGACCGGGATATCCCTCGCCGGTCCATAGGGGGGGGTTACGGGTTGGCAAGAGGTCTGTAGCGTGCAGCGGGTCCCGTGTCGGGAGATCGTCCGCTTCCCCCGGGCAGCAGGTCACCACATCTGCCAGGCCTCATATCCAGTTGGCCCGGCCTCGTTGCCATCGCTGCCGATTTCTGGTGTCGCTCCGTTCACACTCGTGGCTAATCAGTGTACAGTGTTCAAACCGCTGTGTCCAGCCTGGGCATCAGCAGTTTTAAGTAGTTTGGAGATTATTTTAGTTGGATTGTGTCGGAGCTAATGAACAACACTTCCGGCCATCTTGGCTGCCTGGTTCCGCCCCGCCTATCTGTGATTTTAAGAGAGATCCTGGAGACGCGGTGTATGGGAGATGACTAGGAGCAAAATACCACAGATTTTTGTAAGAGCCTGTGTGTTTAATGATATTATTATTCAATGTGTCCTAATTCATATGTATATTAGTACATGGGCTGTCATTGTGGGAGCTTGTACAGTAACCCCTAATTGCACATTTGGGCATTATGGGAGCTTTGCCAAGTTCAGAGGCGTTATGACAGTTATCAAAGTTATCACTGCCCAGCAATGCCATCCTAGCTCTCTGTCATCTGGGAACACGATGGCGGTATACTGCCAGTAATACCATCCTAGCTCTCTGTCATCTGGGAACACGATGGAGGTATATTGCCAGTAATACCATCCTAGCCCTCTGTCATCTGGGACCATAATGGGGGTATACTGCCAGCAATGCCATCCTAGCTCTCTGTCATCTGGGAACACAATGGAGGTATACTGCCAGTAATACCATCCTAGCTCTCTGTAATCTGGGAACACGATGGAGGTATACTTCCAGTAATACCATCTTAGCCCTCTGTCATCTGGGAATACGATGGCGGTATACTGCCAGCAATGCCATGCTAGCTCTCTCTGTCATCAAGGACACAGTATGACGGGAACCTCTGAGATGTATAGGCTTTCTTCACCTCCGGTTATCTGACATTAATATTAAATAAATAGTAGATATGGAGATTTGGTTTGATCCAAATTGAAATTCAGATGAATTTGGACAGATTGGCTGATTTCCAAGCTCCACAGCTAACTTTACTTGAATTCGGAATCAGCTAAATAGTGCAGTAGCCTGGCCATTTCAGTTGATTCTGAATTTAGAACTTGTGTTCTGATGCTTGGGCTAGTAGCCACTGCCTTTTCACCCTAACTTTGAATCATTCATTTCCAGTTTTTGTGAATGGTACATGTCCCCATATTCATGGCATCCCTGACAATTCTCTATTTAATTTCTATCTAAACCAAAATCTATTATTCCGATCTACAGAGTTTTGAATAGCTGAACCCAATAAATTTGTAAGAACCAAACATTTTCACGTTGCACAGGTTCAATACACCTGCTCAACCACGTGTGCTTTTAGCATGCTCGATCTTAACATGTTCTTAAATCAGCTCTTACAACACGTACAGATTGACAAAAATATATGTAGCAGTACCAAGACTGATGGTCTTCTATTGCGGGGCTCATGGAAGGCCATCTGTGTGTCTCAAACTGGTGAAGCTCTTGATGTGGCTCCCTGAAGCTCTAGAAGCAGCTTTCATAGTTGTGATTTGGCAAGATAGTAATGAGCCTGAATAATTACTGTGTTATATGTGAGCATTTCCCAATCTATGAAAATGTCAGACAGAGCCAAAACAAGAACTCTGTTACATATTTATGGGAGAGACCCACCAGACAACAGACACTTCTAGTCAATACCCTACCCCCTCTAGAACATCATGGATTATTATCAGTCAAAGAAATATCACTGACTTTTATAAACAGTATCACCATTACTGGGGGGTAAAAAGTTAAATTTTAAAGATGAACCAAATAAAGTACCATTTATTAAATTAAATTCAAAGACTAAAGTGTAGATGGGTTGATAATATTCTATGTCCTATTGCGTTTTCCTAATCATTAGTCATTCATAGAGATTCTCTTTGGTCATACCTACAGATGACCATAACTGGTAGAAAAGAAGATTGAACGAGTGTAATGGAGATAGGAAATTGAGAGCTTTTTAATTTGATGACTGGTACATTTGTGAACCAGACATGTGCCAAGAGCACTCATAGCAAGTAGACAAGAGATTGCATTGATTGTAATCAGTGTAGTAAGAAAATGGTCAGCAGACTATGCAGTCAGTCATTTACAAGGTGATAAGTCATAGGTTCTGTGAAATTTTAAGGAGCACAACTCAGGGAATGTTTAGAGGACGGTGACCATGATAAATTAAAATATGTAGATATAGATGATTTTAATTTCCGATAGGTCCTTAACTAGTTATATGTAAAGTAGACATGTATAGCTTACTGTAGGTCTTTTTCAGTATAAAACCCCAAATAACTGACTATAACAAGGAAGGAGCGAGACTAACTATGCTGAGCCTGAAATGCTGGAAAACAGTGGAAATGTATCCTGACAAACTGGGCAATATGCTAGAAAACCATTATATCCAAATTATGCAACATCTGAATTATAAACAATGTTTTAAACTGTTTGGCAAGACATAGCACAAAGTTGAGTCATCTCTGAGTAGACCCACTGTCTCTGCTAGACAAGACATCTCTGGAACAGTGGAGGCTGTGAGAGGAGCAGGTGGAACGGATGTTTTTTTGGGTAAATGGGTCCCTGCAGATTTGCAACATGTTTTCTAACACATACAGATTAAAAGATGTATGTATAGCCTCAGACACTGATTGCACATTTTAACAAATTGCTCTCCAGCAAAATCTTAAAAGTAAAAACCATGAGTGAGAAGGGAATCTGAATATTGTAACAGAGTATATATAGTAGTTTATTCAAATAATTTTAAAAGCCTTTTTATAAACCAGTTTATCTGCAGCAGGAGAGATTTTCTTCAGTTGTGGAACTTCATGAAGATCTTACGTTCATCAACATGTGAGAACGTAGTTCCACCAAATGGAGGTTGCTGTCATGTAAGGGAACTCAATCATCCTTTTCTCATGATTACGTTCACACGTACCCCTCTGTATGACAGCCTGCACACTAGGATGATAGTGAGGCTCAAGAATTAGCTCATTCTAACAATTTCCGATGCATTTCTCCTATTCAGAGGACTTGCATGAGCACTGGTCTCTGGTTAGAGATCCGAACAGTAAAACAAAATCTCTGCTGTGTTCATGGTCAGTCCTACCTCATCTAACATGGATATATATGTATTTATTGATTAGGGTATTGGCAAATAATATTCACTATTTCCACTTACTTGATGGAAATACTGATTTGGGTTCCATCTCAACTTGTAGGGTGTTTGGGACCTGAAGAGTTTACACCGAATGTCTTCTTTCTAAGAATGTATGTTTTTTAATAAGGTACATAAGAAAAACGGGGAATGTTTTATATTACCCTACATATATATATTGAAACAGGTTCAATTTACATGAAAGAGCATCGGAAATTCCCAATGAAATTTCTGTTTTGTGAAAAATTATTCTGCCAAACTTATCTTTCCCTCCATCCAAAAGTTTAGGTGACAGAGAATGGTTAGTGTTGTAGGGGGTCGTAGCATTTTTGTTTTATAAGGAACAGAGAATATCTAGCACTTATTCCCAAAGTATATTAGAATGGATTATCTCTTTTGTTTATTATTTTTACTAATTTCAGAATATTCTGTTCTCTATTTTCTAGAAATAACCATTTATGTAGTTATAAATGAAAGGCCTACGGATGTTTACAACTTGTGGTGGGTATATAAAATATTACAGTTAGATAATCCCAATAGTTATTTTCTCATTTAATTCAATTTGCCACAGTTCTTCCAGGATAGATTATTCATAAGAGACAAAAAAACATTTTTAAAGGGACACTACACACATACTGAGCACTCAACTTGCTGAGTCACGAGCATCTCATCCTAACTGCAGATTATGAAATATTTATGTTTGAAATCAGAACTTTTATAAAGAATTGTTGGAACACCTGGCTGTCAATCAAGTCATTTTCACATTTTATGTTAGAAGTAACTGACGCCAGTGAGACGCCTCTGACCGGAGTATTCCCCAACACATATTTAGATATAAATAATGAAGTAAATGCAGAATTAAATTAATTCAAGCTTATATCGGAGTGTTCCTTTAGGTGTTTGTGATGCCACACGCCATTCCATGACTAGTATAACAATATATGTGGTTGTCACATTGAGATGGTCTCCTAAGCACAGTGCAGTCTCTGGCAGTGGCAGATTTTACCTAAGTAACTCTCTCATTTTACCACATATAAGTTTTGTGTATCTGAAGAGAATGGGAAAGTGAGGAAGCGGAGCAAACATTGAATTATGTAATTGTTACATTGGATTTCGAGAGATGCTGTTGTGTTGGACAGAGGGAGATCTGATGTTAACTATTGCCGTGTTGTAAAGCCTCCACTTGAAAACAAAGAGTTATCTGTTTTCTATCCCAAATCCCTATGCACATATACATAAATGGATGTTTTTTAGTATCTTTACAATGGCCATTTAGGTGTAAGCTTACCTGCCCACCCGTTTTTTACCCTATTAATGGTTAATACGTGTGAGGGGTTTAATGATCTGAAGTGGTCCGGGTGCCTATAGTGTCCCTTTAAGAGCAGGGCTTCATTTTGCAAGTATGTAGAATGCAGTTTATCTATAAAGAAAAAATGCCAGCCAGGAAGGGGTGGGGCTGCTGGAGGAGCAGTTGGAAGGAACCTCTGTGTTATCAAAATAGCTCCAGGTTCCAGCTACTCCTTTATGGCCACTGAGGGCTTCACCTACAGGAAGGTGGAGCTGGTCACATGATCCACTCTCCATATGTATAGCCAAGCACTATAGCCAAGATTGCCCCAGATTACTGGTCCCGATTCCAGAGCCTTATTTCTGACCCTGACTCCTGATCCTTGGGTTGTGTTCCTGGCCCTGGTTCCTGATCTGTGTTTCTGATCCTTCTTCTTGATCCTTGAGTTGTGTTCCTGGTACCGGATCTGTGTTTCTGATCCTTGTTCTTGATCCTTGAGTTGTGTTCCTGGTACCGGATCTGTGTTTCTGATCCTTGTTCTTGATCCTTGAGTTGTGTTCCTGGTACCGATCTGTGTTTCTGATCCTTGTTCTTGACCCTTGTGTTGTGTTCCTGGTACCGGATCTGTGTTTCTGATCCTTGTTCTTGACCCTTGAGTTGTGTTCCTGGTACCGGATCTGTTTTTCTGATCCTTGTTCTTGACCCTTGAGTTGTGTTCCTGGTTCCTGATCCATGTTGCTAATTCTGGTTCCTGGTCCGTGTTTCTGGTCCTGGGTTAACAATCTTGTCAACACATTGTGAAAGCATATCAGACATCATGGAGTTAGCCTGCATTTTACAAGTTTTATTTGCCAGAATGGAATCACCATTACTTTCATTAAAGTAGTGCAGTTGTTTAGTCTTTCTTATAGAAAGATACTAGCTTCTCCTGGTATTTTTAACACATTTCATGGTCCCTGAAAATTATTTTTTATTATGGTTTTCTAAAATGCTTAGTTCTCAGTTATGGAGACTGTGATTGATTTGTGTTTTTATTATTTTATTATTGTCAATCTTTATTTTTGCGATGCGTGGTTATAACATACAAACTCGTATCGCCACAACAGCGTGTACAAGCTATAACAACAATACAGTAAATACAATATTATGGCATGCAGGAAAGGCACCATTTTTTTGTTTTGTTAATGAATGCAGGTTAGGTACATTTGTCTTAAGTTGCAGCTGATACTAATCAGGTGAATACAAGATAAGATTAAGACATAACGACTAACAATGAGGAAGTATTCTTGTGAGGAGCGTTTCCCAGAGCTGGCATGCGCTTAATTTAAATTATCACAGGCTAGGCATATCTGAGAGTGAGAAGTTTAGGTAGGCAATCTCAATATACTGTTGATCATTATGTGGTTAAAGATAGCACGAAAGAGTAAGCAAAATTAGTGACATGTTTGCTAAACACTCAATCCTTATAACTTTGCTAAGTGTTATGCGATGAGGCTAAGGCATGATGTGCCATTTGCAAATCTGGCACCATTTTTGGTAAAGGTTATAACACGTGCAGTTATTAGTAGGAGTCCAGAGTGATGGGCATTGCATAACTCCGCATTGCAGAAGGTCTTGATGGTAAGGTATGTCTTTTTGCTGATGATACTAAGATATGTAACAGGGTTGATGTTCCAGGAGGGAAAAGCAAAATGGCAAATGATTTAGGTAAACTATAAAAATGGTCAGAGTTGTGGCAACTGACATTTAATGTGGATAAGTGCAAGATAATGCATCTTGGACGTAAAAACCCAAGGGCAGAGTATAGAATATTTTATAGAGTCCTAACCTCAACATCTGAGGAAAGGGATTTAGGGGTGATTATTTCTGATGACTTAAAGGTAGGCAGACAATGTAATAGAGCAGCAGGAAATGCTAGCAGAATGCTTGGTTGTATAGGGAGAGGTATTAGCAGTAGAAAGAGGGAAGTGCTCATGCCATTGTACAGAACACTGGTGAGACCTCACTTGGAGTATTGTACACAGTACTGGAGACCGTATCTTCAGAAGGATATTGATACCTTAGAGAGGTTCAGAGAAGGGCTACTAAACTGGTTCATGGATTGCAGGATAAAACTTACCAGGAAAGGTTAAAGGATCTTAACATGTATAGCTTGGAGGAAAGACGAGACAGGGGGGATATGATAGAAACATATAAATACATAAAGGGAATCAACACAGTAAAGGAGGAGACTATATTTAAAAGAAGAAAAACTACCACAACAAGAGGACATAGTCTTAAATTAGAGGGACAAAGGTTTAAAAATAATATCAGGAAGTATTACCTTACTGAGAGGGTAGTGGATGCATGGAATAGCCTTCCAGCTGAAGTGGTAGAGGTTAACACAGTAAATGAGTTTAAGCATGCGTGGGATAGGCATAAGGCTATCCTAACTATAAGATAAGGCTAGGGACTATTGAAAGTATTTAGAAAATTGGGCAGACTAGATGGGCCAAATGGTTCTTATCTGCCGTCACATTCTATGTTTCTATGTTTCTATGTTTCAGTTGTCCACTGGAGCAATCAGACCACACCACAGGGTGGGATGGTGTTGCAAGAAACGAGAGCCAGTCCATCAGGCTGTGGGGGGAGGCCTCCTTGGACCCGCACTCGGCTGGGAGGCTGCCCTGCTTCTTTTGCATGCCCATTCCGACCGTCCGGTGGTTCTTCTCCTGTCCCTCCTGAGTAATACCGCGTGTCTTCGGCCTGAGGCCTTAGCGGGGGCCCATACCACATGTCCATTGACCCCATCATCAGGGTCGTGGGCCCAGGGTTCCTCCGGGTCCCAGCTATCTCCCTGGGTGTATGGGTGGCGGTGGAGAGCTACCTTCAGGTGAGCTCCGAGCTCGGAAGAAGAGTGCAGTCGGGTACTGGATGTGTGGAGGGTTCGCAGCACTCTGTGGTTTCAGTCTGGGGCTAGGTTACCTCTCTTGTGGTGGCCTTTGTGCGGAGGACATTTCCCTCTGCGGCGCCATCCTGAGGCCCTGTGTGGGTGAGGAGCAGTTCTCTTGCGGCTGGGTTGCTTGGGTGTGTCGATGTTCAGGTATGTATTGAGTTTGCTCTGCCGTACCCGGATCTCCAGTTTCGCCCAGAAGTCTTCAAATATAGCGTTTAGCCTGGCTGAATAGTCCCTGTGTGGCACTCCAATGACTCGCACGGCGCTCTCACCGCCGCCATATTAGGTATGCCGTGTGCTCGGTTGCTCTGGTGCTTATGCTTTTCACAGCCTCTCCACTCGCTTGATGTGGACCGAGATGACCCCCATAGGTCCATAGCGGGGGGTTGGGGTAGGAGGTGATAGCCCCGAGGGATCCACATCCAGGTCAGCCAGCGCGGGGAGCGGCCGTCTCCCCACTGCTCGATCTCCAGTAGGCCTCGGGGTATATTGTCGGGTGCCCGGGGTGTTGCATGCTTGATTTTGGCATCGGATGATTCCCCCGGGTGTCCCCGTCATGATAGCCGCTCTCCAGTGGGGGATTGTACTGGATTTCGGGGGATTACCCCCTAAAAGTGCAGGATTAGGCAGGAGCTGAGGTTCAGCACGACCTCTCATTCTGGATGCTAGGCTCCGCCCCCTTTATTATTTTATTTTCATTGTCAAAGTTTTTAGGTGTAAGGACAGTCTTATATCATTCCAAACATTTTTTGGGGAAAGAAAAAGGATTGTAAAAATTATTAAGGAATAGCTTTCTTGGAAATAGCAGTATAGATGGCAAGAATCCATTTGGTGGATTTTTATATGTATAGACAACATATAAAGAATCCGAGATAAGGAAAGGTAATCAGTCCTCTTCATGGTATAAATGTTGATGATCATATCTTTAGCACTGCTGCACTGGATCTGTGTGTGGAAAATTGAGTTACCAAATATCTGTGCCTTACAGATATGTGTCAATACAGATATGTGACAATACACTCATATGTCTTTGTGACGGAGCTCCCTGTACCCCTGGCTGAGTACCTCCACCAAGGACCTCTTCCTAGCTGGAACAGGGGACAAACCGCAACACTTCTGCGCAACACTTTTACCAGGACTTTCCCCCTTGAATCCTCCAGACTGGAACAGTGACTAAAGAATAGCCTTTTCATAGCCTTTTCCCCTCCCAGAAACCAGGTGACACATAGTTCTGGGAGTACAAGCTGGAATACTTTAATGGCAGTCACAACTGGCCTTATATGCAGGACCCCAGGCAAGGGGCACTCCCCGATGGACCTGAGAGTAAACCACAGTAGAAACAAATACACAATTACATTGTCTCTTAGATCCAGAACACTCCCACACATAAGCAGATAATCCCTCCTCTGTGCTGGGAGAAAATTGAATCAGGAACTGTACTAATCTAATCCAATTATCTCCAAGCACAGAAAAAACATACTTTTTCCCAAACACCCCAAAAGTACCCTAAAAATACATACAAACCCCATAAAAATCACCCAGATCAGTTCAGGGGATCAGGAATTTCCTGAAAGTCATTTGTTTGACCGCACGCAGGGTGCCATGCCCAAAAAAGTTTCAGAGAATCAGGGCTTGCGGTCAGTCTAGTTCGGTAGTTCAAAACGAACAAACTTCCGAACATAGTCAATAGTTTTACCCTGGAACTTGATCCCCTTGTTCGTGGGAGCGTTTCTACCGAGCAGTGTCTTTCTAAGTATTGTCGAACCGAACGCAGGCGATCATGGTGTCCAGCGGTGTTCAGGAGTTTCAGTATCCGAAAACTCGTGGCAAACTCACTTGAAAAGGGGATTTTGCCACAGTCATGGTTTAAGGTGATCTGTCTCTCAGAAATGTAAGATATAAAACAGCACACGTCTTGGTGGAGAAGATAAATGCAAAGTAGTAACTGAATTGGTGTAATAATGATTTATTCTCATAGAATATTAGATTGTGACAATAGCAATTATAATAAAAGTTAACATTTTAATCGCTCAGACCACTAAAGAAGAAAATAAAGATTAATAGTCTAATGAATATATGTGAATAAAATTCAAGTTGTAGAGACCTTCAAGGAACACTATAGGCACCCAGACCGCTTCATCTCAATGAACTGGTCTGGGGGCCATGTCCCTCTAACCTTGCAATGTAAAACATGACTGTAATGGAACTCCCCGTACTCCGACCGAGTACCTTCCTAGCCTGCACCGAGGACCACAAGCACCGCACTGGACACCGCAGACTCCACAACCGCGGTAGCGTAACTAGAGTCTCGCCGTCTTCTGTCCACCCTGGATCAGCTTCTGTCCTCCAGGACCGTGTGGGGAAGACCTCTCCTCCAGGAGAGCGTATCAGGAACAAGCTCTTAAAAGAGCTAAGTGATTAAAGCTCAAGGGAGTATGCAGAGCATAGCAATCCCCAGTGTGATTATAGCAGTTCCCTCCAACAACGAGACAAGGTTAAGTTTTGAAGGGTAAAGTAGAACAGACTCCACTGAGCGTTTATTGCTCCTTTTATGCAGGATTTTACAGTATTATCACCACCCACTGTACCTGGTGGGGCTCTAACAATGCAAGTACAGCAGCCAATCAGACACAATGGTACAATAGAAACACACCCAGCAATTACAGAACATTCCTCCCCTCTGCTTAGGAGATAATTGAGTTACTTACTGTATCTACTCAATTATCTCCAAGCTGAAAAATTACACTTTTTATACTTTTTTATAACTCCTTGATTTTACATAGTACACACATAAAACGC